TCATTTTCAAACGCATTTTGGAATAACTTATTTTGAAATTTACTGTGTTTTATAAGCACATAGGTTCATAATATTAGTTTCTATGGATATGAAGAAAACCAATCATTTTAACAAGGGGCGGTAGGGTATTCTTTTTTCAATGACAACTATTGTATCAACATATTAGTTACTTTCGAAAAGAGGTTAAGTCAAGGTAGGGTTGGGGTGCCTTTTTCAAACGAATGATGACATTATTTTTTATTTTATTTTTTTTAAAACATTACTTAAGGAATTTTTTTGGCAATGTCGACAGAGAATAGCCATTTCATTTCTTTGATTAAATAATTTTTTATTTTTATAAACCTAGTAATATATAGTTTCTCATGTATGCACAAAGGACATGGGTCATTTAATGACCTACTTATTCTAGATTTTCTTATTAATTTCTATTTCACAGTAGGTGTTTTATTGGTTTCTTTTAAGTGCCAGAAATATTTCGATAGAGACGTCTGATTTCGGTATTTATTTATCCTAAAAGACCTTTGATGTTGGTTAAACCGTTTTTTGAACTCGGGCCTAGTACATCCTATGCAGACTTTTACGTTATCTGGATCCTCAATAGATGAGATATTGCATTGGTATACTAATGATTCAGTGCGACATTTATTATTAAGAGGACAGTTATGGGGATTTCTGCAGTTACATAATTTTTGTTTATCTTCATCTTTTTTTTTATTATTATACTGTCTAAATTTCTCCGGTCTTGGTCTAAGTGTTTATTCAAGATATTAGCATTATGTTTTTTTTTTAATTTTTTCTAAGTTTTCAGTACAACTGTAACTTAATTTTAGGGTATTTTTTATTGAAAATAGTACTGAGTTTACTATCTTTAGGAAAATGTTTAACGATTAATTCAAGGAATTTTTGTCCTAATTTGTTCGTTACCATTTAGTTGTATGGGGGTGTATACCAAATTATTTTTCTACTTCTATTTTTTCTATGCTTTCCATTTTCATTTTGATGTAAGTTAGCTTTGGGCTTTTGTAGCCACTATCTTTTAGGGCTTTATTATAGAAATTAATATGTTCATAGAAAATCTTCTCATTTGCTGAATTTGTACTTATTCTTTTTTCGATAGTTAAAGGTATATGTTTACTTGTAGACGGAGGATGGTTAGATTTAGGGTGTATATACAAAGGATTAGTATTGGGTTTTTATAAGGTATGTATACATTTTTCATTAAATCTAATATTATATCAAGGAAGTTCACCTTTTTCAATTTAGTGCTTACAGTAATTTTTAAGTTCAAGCATTTAAATTCTTTATATAATATCTTTCTAATTTTATCGATTTTAAAGTTCGTATAGTTCTTTATAACCATGAATACATCGTCTCGGTATAATCCAATATCAGTTATATTAATTTCATGATATGCTGTGAGATTGTATAATATAAAAAGACCCATAAGGTCAGAAGAATCAGCTGAGTCTAGTGATCCCATTGTGATGTCAAAGTGGTCGTAAGAATTTTTTATCCATTGCTCACCTTTATGTATTAGTACGGATTTTTTCGCATTTATAATAATGCTCTTTTTTTCTTCTGTTACGCCCGTGTAGCAAAGTCCAACGCATTCATGAACAGTTCTTTAGATATTGATTGATAATAATTATCAATATCAAACTGCATTAGTGCACAGTTTGTTTTATCTTTGATTTCAGTAAACCAGTTTGTTGCTTCTTTGTTATTAATCCAACGTTTCTATCCTATGTTTTCTTTAATTTGTTGATTAACCCCGTCAAGGATTTTTTTTTTTTACTTATTTTGCCTATCACAGGTGTTGTTGGGTTTATTATCCTTGTAGTTGGATCATCTTCGAAATCTGGTTTGTGGTCCTTTATAGTAATATAGCACTCTTTTTCGTTAAGTTTACCTACTCTATTATTAATCTTTAGTTTATCTGTGATTTTTTTTACTGCTAATGTTAATGTTTACCACCATTCAGTATCTGTCTATATTTCTGAGATGAGGTATTATGTACATTATTTACATTATTCGGACTATTTTCCTCATCTTTGTCGCCATATTTATTACAAAGTTTCGGCCGTTGTACGCTTCGGCCTTATTCGGGTGGTTGGAATGTCGAATTTTATTATTTATTCATCTCACTTGGGTAGACTGTTCTAGTTCCACGTGCCATGTTTAATGGATATCAGTTATCAGGTATCTCCTGTTAATTTCCCTCTGAAAGTTCTCCACTGCCTTAACCGGGTATTGAACTTACACTCTTTGGGTCCTGTCACTGGATCTAACCAACGCATTTATCCTACTGGACCACGTGAACTCAATAAGACCTTCGATACAGTTCACACTAGAGAAAGAGAGTAACAACACACTCCCATTCCTGAAAAAGCGGACGAGGGGATGAATTCTTGTGCGCTCTCAGAAGGAAATTTTTATAACACCTATTTTATATCTGAGAGGGCACTGACTAGTAAAATTAAAGTGGCAAATGTTTCTACTTATGGATTTTTTATACAACAAGAATTTCCAAGAATGTAGTTTATTTTTTTGGTTAAGTTCAAAGGTAAAGTTGAGGACAGAATATGTAGTTTTGAGATTATCAATTTCGTTTTCAGCAAAAATATCATTTAAATAGCGGACATATATTTGGGTTTAGTAACTTTTTAAAATAACATGTTTTCTACGTGGGACGTCTAATATTTAAAAAAAAAAAAATCACGGACCGAGTGGATTATTGCGAGAAGAGCGATCTTTTAGACTTTCTGCCTTGAAAAGACTACTGAGGTTTGGATGGAGTTTTATTACTTTATCAATTTCCTATTGGGATAATGACTGATGTAGAATTTCTGTTTCGGTCTTCTTTGTGATGGGATCAAATTTAGGATAAAGATGGCAGTTTCTTCCAAGATTTAGGAATTCCTTCTGGTCATCTGTTAACTTGTGACTGGATATGTTCATATATTTATCACTGTTGTTGGGAAGTAGAATATTTTCATGATATAAATTGAAAAGCTTTTTCATAATTATTTATTTGTGTTTGTTCGTTATCATTAATACTTGATAGGATATTGTGCTTCATTATATTCGGCTTCGGTCAAGGTGTTTTTTATTTTCGCATTATGTTTTTGGATTTCATTATTTAAATGTTGAATTTCATTTTTAGCTGTTGTTATCTGTTATATTCAGTTAAAAGTAAAAATATATCGTCTTTCATAATGGCTAAAAGATTCGAATAATTTCTGCATAATTTATGTCCCAAAAAGAAGAAAATTATAAGAACACAAGAAAAATTAAATAAAAAATTTAACCGCAGCACCTTGTCAGTCGTTTTTCATTAATATATATATATATATATATATATATATATATATATATATATATATATATATATATATATATATAAAATGAAGACATCCTTTTACATAACTGATTTAAATATCGATAACGAAATCAAAATTAACAAGTCAAATGCTAATGTTAACAATATGTCAAGTGTGTTGTAACTTTATCAACTTGCAAATTATTCATCCATTCTTTATTACAGGATTATAGTTTGTTGCCTTCTTGCTAAACATAGTAAATATCAATTCAACCCAACTTTATTACATAGTCGTTCATCTCCCCTTTACATTTAAGAGAGAAGTTGTGAGAAAAATATTGTCAGTTCCAGATTCTCATCAGTTTCATTATTGCATATTTTCGATGTCACCAACAGAAATTCACTCTCTCCCAAGCAAAGTAAACAACTTTTTTAATATATCACCAACAGAGTTTAAAATAATATCACATATGATAGTGAATTAAGACCATATTAATATCACATGTGGTGGTGAATTAAGACCACACGAAGACCACGAATTTGCTTCCTTTCAATTGTACTGTAACGGTAAAACATTTTCACATTTATATCTGAAAATAAAAGGAGTCTGAAGAAGTTTATCTGGGTGGAAAACAAAAGAACCAAAACTCAGTCTCATTCTTCCTTTATTTTCGAAATCCAAAAGCTTGATAAATAAAGCGCGCAGACATTTTAATATATCATATACAGCTGATCAATTCTTTTATTTACGGATTAATTGTGAATTAATTATTATTCGTCAATAATAAGTTTATTTGATATTATAATGCATATTATTATTACGCTGAATTAAAATAAAGTGAGATTTGTATTCTAAATGGAAATCAACTTTCTCTTAATTTAGCTATTAATTTTCTGTTACGTTACACACTTGATAAAGACTGACGACAATTATCTTTCAAAATTTGTATTTGGCTCGTCTTTTTAATATCATCTTTAAAGACATCAAATAAGGATTTAGAATTTTATTTATTGAATGGATCAACATTTTTCTTAATAAGTTAAGTTTTGGCGATAGGACTTCCAACAACAGTTCTATAAAAATAATTCTAGCCTACTCAGTCCTAAATCTAGCGATCTCTTTTTCTCACACATGTACACTCCAATTTACAATATAATGATCTACTTTATGAAACGATGTGAAACTATCATCTTATTTAAACTAATTATGATTCTGGCAACGTGGGATGAAGCAACAAATTTTCTCGCCCATATGATGTAAAATGCACGTGATTATAATTTCTCACGTTATTTGTGTTCATCTTTGCTCGTCATGGCAACGAGTCACTTTCGATAACTAAGAGACGGCTTTACTGTTAAGGCCATCAAGCCGGCCGTAACAATAAAGGACTCTAACTAAAAGTAAAAAGAACACGAGTGTATAATGAAAATGATGGATTGTTGGCGGAGGTAAGGCGGGGGAGTTCTTACTACGCGCAATATGCAATGTTAATTGATAATTACTTATCATGCGCAACATCACTCTCATTCACATTCTTATTCTTATTCATGTACGTGACACGATAAAAATGGTCGTGATTTGAGAATTATGTTTTCTTGACAAGCATGAAACAAAATAAAACAAAAAGTAAGGAATTTCGTGGAAACAGTCTGAAATACAAATCATTCGGCGAATTCAAAACTACGGTACATATGATGGAAAAATGTTGATGTTCGAGAGAGGGAGAGAAAAATAAAGAAAAAGAAAGAAAGAAAGAAAGAAAGAAAGAAAGAAAGAAAGAAAGAAAAGAAAGAAAGAAAGAAGAAAGGAGAAAGGAGAGCGATAAAGAAGAGGGGAGAGAGAAACAGAGATTAATTGAAAAGGATCGTACGTATTGTAAGAATGAAAAATATCTTAAAGAGTGTAAGAAGTTTTGGGACAATGCTTTTGTGTACAAAATATATACACTAAAGCCTGTACGAGACTGAATTATATATATATATATATATATATATATATATATATATATATATATATATATATATATATATATATATATATATAGATATAGGGAGAGAGATCAAGAAGCTTGCATGTATATTCTTTGTGAATGTATCTGCGTGGATGTATATTGTGAGTGCATGTAGGTATATATGTGTCAGTGTGTGTGTCTGATGTAATAACAGAGCAAGTATAGTGCAAGAGTGAGAAAATGACAAAAAAAAAAAAAAATAGCAACAGGAAGGACGAAAAGGTAAAGAAATTTTATCGAATCAATATGAGAGTAAAATGGATTTGGGGAATTTTGTTATTTTTATCCTTAATGTCTCAAAAAAGAAAATATAGGATTAAAAAAATAGACTAAGGTTAATATCATAGACAGGATTATTCGAATCCTTTTATATTAAAGATAAAACCGTGTGTGTTTGTCTAAGTTTATATTCCTCTATATGCAAACGAAAAATAATGGGGGAATTCGAGCCAGAAATTAAGAATTACAAGTAAAAAAAATATACTGAATTCTTTAAATATCGAAATGAGAAAAGCATCTGAAAAATCAACGAAATTAAGATTAAATACGAGATCAAAATAAATTCTTCGTTTATTTGGCTTTACTTAGGAAGAAGAATGAAGCGATGGACCGAATTAATTCAGGTAGTCGAGTGCATTGCGAGAGAGAGGGGGAGAGGGGGGAGGGAGGGGTGAGAGATAGAGAGAGAGAAGAAAAATAAGAAAAAGAGTGAAAATGATACTTCAAATAATTGAAAAGAATAGTAGAATATGAAAATAAAAGTTTGAAAGTAAGAGTCAATGGAGTGCACTCTTCTATCAAGATATTTATAAACAAAATGAAAAATCTTGTGTAGTTAAGAATAGGTTCAAATATTTTGGTTGGGTTAAATATGTGACCAGAACATGAAATGCTTATGGGTAGACAATGTATTTTATATATATATATATATATATATATATATATATATATATATATATATATATATGTATGTGTGTGTGTGTGTGTACGAACGCGCGTGTGTATGTAATAGCCTGCGGTGTATACTGAGCACTAAGTGTAAGTATATAGATGCAGTATATACCCATCTACTAAGCAGAACAAATACCTAATATATGATGGAAGATCAAATATGAACGAATGTGTATCGGCTTTTGTGTATTTGTAAATGCACGCATGTTTGCGTGAACACCTACACATATGCACATAAAGCATGAGTGTGCGTGTACATGTGAAGTATCTCTGTGCTCTTTTCTCGAGTGCATGAGTAAATGCCAGCTTCATACATGTCCGAATGAATGGAAGGCTCTAATAATCAGCATGATTAGTTGACGAGAATAGTAGAATAACGAAAAACAGCTAATCGAATTCTTTAGAATAATCGAACAGTAGAATGACGTGACCATTAAATGAACGATGTGAAAATTCAGTTCTTATAGAAAACTATGGGCGTCAGTATTCATTACTAGCAACTGGTTGCTAATGCCAACCAGCGTCTGACACAACGACAGTGACAGTTAATAAGAAAAATAGATGGAAAGAAACAAAAGAGTAGAATGTGTCAAAATGAAATTAAGTATTTTTAAAAATACGTGTATAGATGTACATGTGTGTTTATTATGTAGAATTTTAAGTGCTTTATGCATTTTTGACACGGAGAGACTTTGAAATTGGGTGAAAGTTATGCAACTTTAGAAAATTGTATCAATATATAAATAATACATAAGTAATAACTTCATGTAAATATATACACATATATCTATCTATCTATCTATCTATCTATCTATCTATCTATATATATATATATATATATATATATATATATATATATATATATATATGTGATATATATATATATATATATATATATATATATATGCACCTATATATGAATAAAGATATATTTACATGCGCGTATATATATATATATATATATATATATATATATATATATATAGATAGATAGATAGATAGATATATACACACATGCGTGCACACACACGCGCGTGCGCACACTCACACACACACACACACACATATATATATATATATATATAACAAGAGGAAAATCTTTTATGCCAGTCCGTTTCATTCTTTGAAGAACTTTATCAAGGCAATTTAAGTTTGAAAATTTTGAATTAGAGAACGCTCTAAAATATTCTAAAACTTTCTCTATAAAGAAAAGGTAGACCATGGAAGACACAGAATAACGTAACTTTTCGGATTATTAAACGAAAGTGAGTTAAGATTGTTTTGTTTTTATTAATTTTTTTTCTATTTGTTTATATTATATATTTTGAAAAAATAAAGTTTCCCTCTTTTCTTTTCTTTTTATCGTTTTTACAAATATACTTAGATTTGAATTTTGACGCACACTCTCTGTTACACACACATAATACCCACACACATATTTGCATCAATATTCAAATTTAACATACATACATACAAACATATATATGTGTGTGTGTGTGTGTGTCTGTGTGTGTGTGTGTGTGTGTGTGTGTGTGTCTGTGTCTGTGTTAGAAACAAATGAAAATTAAGCATTTAATAGCTCAGGCTAAAATCAAGGTAGAAATAAATAAATGAGTGAGTGTATAAAGCAATCTAGAGGAAGACAGAAAAACTGCCAGACTAACGTAAAAGCTATAGAGCCATTCAAAAGAATCAACATTATCAAGGCAAAAGATAAACATATGGTGGAAAGCTTCATCCACATGACTCTTACTGCGAATGGCTGTTCCTGTTTGCTTCCATTTTATTTTTGTGAATAGATTTACCCGTCTATTGACGAAGATAAAATGTTTATTTTTTATGCATCATATTTTAATTTAGCTTCCTAATTTTTAACAGAGAACATAAAAAATAGCAACAATATTTCTCCATTTTCACACAAGCACACATCATCAACACATCCATAAATTCATATTCAAATCCACTTCTTTTTGCATGTTTTATTTCAAGATGTTTGTTTCATTATAAATATATTTAGTGAGTGAAACACTGCCCAGCGGATTTCATTGAAAAGAAAAACTTTTGCGCAAACTTATGAATATATATATATATATATATATATGTGTGTGTGTGTGTGTATGTGTGTGTGTGTTTTATACATTTATGGTGAGATACCCTATGCATATGCTTGTGAGTACATAATATATTTTTACCCATACAAAACCGCACCTACAATTATGGCAATATATGCGCATATACCCATGTTTGCACACATTTGACCTTATTGATAGCAGTTTTATTTTTGCACGTGAAAGACAATTTACTTATTACACTAAAATTATACAAGTCTGCTTTAAAGTGGATTGCTCTTTTACGCACAATTTGTTAAATTAAAAGTACAATAATTTGAGAACAGTTGAGTTCAGCGCCGTTGTATTTTGATAACAAATGCAATGAGTATTTAAATTTTTTTATTTATTTTCTTTCAAGCGACGTCACATCATTAAATGAGTGGATTTGATAAAGAAAATTTATGCTATGAGTATATGGATTTATATTTGCACATCAGTTATTTTGTGAATAAGAAATACATATACGATAAATATTTTTTAATTTGATTCGGTTATTTTTTTATGTTTTCAAGAAAATGACTAACAAAAAATTCAATCATTTTGACTTTGACATTTTTTCACATGTAAATTTTCTCATAAATAATAATAATAATAGTGATAATAATAATTATTATTACTGTTCGAAACAAAAGTTTGTAGAGTTTTTAAATGAATTTCAATGATAATATTTCAATATTTATACAGAGATTTACACAACCACACATACGCCATTTATTCCACTATCTTTGAGGCAGCTTCATGTAACCGCCCAGAACTTGGCATCTTTCTAGGTGATGAACTGGTCTAAATGACTTTTACAATCTTTCACAGAATTTAATTTTTTCCATTTAAGAGAATTTTGTAGTGTTTATTCCAAAGATGCAAGGTCACGTGAGTAGGGCGTAGTAGGGCATCCTAGTTAAGCTGTAGTAATTTCTGCTGGATCTACAAAGAAACATGAACCTGGCTGGTATTGTGCTGATGGAAAAATACCCTTCCAATTGGCCAGTTCCGAATTCTTTTCACTGACTGCTGCCTTTAATCGGTCATGTTCGAAATAAAACTTGTCTGAATCCAACGTCTAATTTTGCGGAAGAACCTCGTAATAAACAAAATACCTTTTCCAATCCACCAGATCCAAGTCATCTCTTTCTTCGGATACAAACTGGCATTTAGAGTGGTTAACAATGGCTCATTTCCTTTTTTTTTTTCTCAAATACATTTCAATCCGCATTGATGTAAATAATCCATTGTTTTTCACCTGTGGTAACTTTTTAATATGTCGTTTTGCTGTGTTCGATCAGAGAATCGCAGACGAAAATGCAATGTAATCATTTTTCTTGTTATATCGTAAGCTATTCAAATAAAGTTGTCCCTGGCCTGTCCCCGGCCATATCTTTGGTTATGATCCAGGTTGAGATTCCCAACCTCCCCATTTTGTTTTTTGGCCCCTTTTATCTCGACTGGGTCAGATTTATATTTTCCCATGGCCGTATAATTTTTTATCCTTTTCCCACTCCCTTAGCGAGAGAGTCTCTTGATTTTGTCCCACGGGCAGAATACAGAGGCCTCTCTGTTTTGAGGGTTGGACGGGTCTTATTAACATCAGTTATGTTTAGTTGCTTTTGTGCATCGTTTTAGTTTATTATTGGGTTCATCTCCCTCCCCTTTCATTTTATTCATCCATAGAATTTTAATTGTACATATATAATCATTATATTTTTATGGCATGGGGCGCGTTTTGTAGGCCCGCCTTGAGAGGATGCGGTATTATGATGTATGGAGGATTGATCGGTCACGGACAAGTTCTTATGGTGAATGTGGAAATTGTAATGTATAAATAGGTCGTGAATCGGATTAGCTAGGTATAAGATAGTTAGTGAAGACCAGCCTCAACCCCCTCCCCTTTTATACAATAAATAGTGTCCACATTGGACGAAACGCGCCAGCAATAACTACAGTTTTCCTATTGTCATTTATATTTATATTTATATATATATATATATATATATATATATATATATATATTGTTGTTTTTTAGTATCACGTTTTCAAGCGTCGGTGGGTGTGATGTCGTCTTCTTTAAAGTAAATTTTTTTTGTAATGTCATTTTTGTTTTTAATTGCGAAATAAATTTAGCTATGTGTTTCCGAAAGTGAATAAAATTTTATCAATTCCGCAGTTGTATTTGTTGAATTTCTTGTGTTTTCCTTTTCCGCTTGTCAGAGTTAAATGATCTATTAACGGATAGATGATGATTTAACTGGTGTGTTATGTAGGGATCAATGTATGAGCCGTTTGATTTATTATTAATAAAATACACTCTCTGCTTGAGTAATTGAAATCGTATGCAACACTAATTTGATGGAACTGATTTTTTTTTATTTTGTCGTTGGTGACGATCATGTTATAAGTTTTCTTATTTTTTGTAGGAACTGATGAGTTTAATGTGTTTTCCCCTATAGGTAATATGTATTGGGTTTCTTATATTTTTTCGTTTTCTTTGTGGTTGTTTCTTATTTGGTTTCTGGATAGTTTAATGATGTTTTATATATTCTTATAGGTTAAATAAGTGTAGTGAGTAGACACATCCTTGTTTTATGTCCCTTTCTATTTTTGTCTATTTGCTTAATTCATTTTCTATACTTATGTAGTCGATTTTTGCGAGTAAATGTTCCG